GAACAAATAATTATTGGAGGGGCCTCTTCGAAAATCCGCAAACGTGCGTTGCGTGATCCAAGTTTTAATCTAGCTGCCATGCTCTTAGAAGGCCGCCGAGACGAACAGAGCATTTTCCAAGCTAAAGACATCGAATCGACATCGCCCGACAGCGCAACGAGCACCTTTGACGAAATTGACGCTCTCTACAGACCGACGGGATGTCGCAATTGTGGTGGATCTTTTCCTCACAAAGGTCTTTGCCCCGCGAAAGGCAAACAGTGTCGAAAGTGTGGCAAACTTAACCATTTTCAAAGCGTTTGTCGAAGCAGACCTATTACACAACCAAGTGGCAGTATCGCACAGCAAGACTCCACTCAGAATTACCATAGCAACGCCACACGAAACCTGATACGACCCCTCGAGCATTACAACACCGGTGATTCAGATGACGATTATATCTACGGAATTCACAGCCTCGATAAAAGCCCTCGAGTTAACGTCACAGTGGGTGGCCATTCGTTTAGCACAATAGTTGACACAGGCGCAACTATAAATGTGATCGATGAACGCACATATAAGACTTTGCGCGGTATCTCTCTACAAAAGACAACAACGAAAGCATTTGCGTACAACTCTACAACCCCGGTACCGTTCCTTGGGAAGTTTACAGCAACTGTCGAAACGCGCCGAAAAATTACCGCGGCGACCTTTTATGTCGCACAGGGTTCAACAAGCGGAAACCTCTTATCCTTGTCAACAGCCCAAGAACTGGATCTCGTCAGTCTTCACCTCAACAACATTTCCAAACCTTTGCCGCAAAATCCTAATAAAGATCCCAAAATCAATGACATTCTCGAGAGAAATGCCAAAGTTTTCGACGGATTGGGAAAACTGAAACGACAGACCGTCCACCTAAACATTGATCCCAATGCTAATCCTAAAGCTCAACCACAGCGCCGCATCCCTTACCACATCCGAAACAAAGTTAAAGATGCAATCATAACCCTTGAAAAAGACGACATAATCGAACGAGTGCCTGAAGATGAACCAACCCCCTGGGTCTCTCCTATTGTCGCCGTGCCAAAAAAAGACGGCGGAGTGCGTATTTGTGTTGACATGCGACAAGCGAATGAGGCGATCAAAAGGGTCCGACACCCGATACCTACGGTTGATGACGTAAGATTTGAACTGAACGGCGGGAAATATTTCTCGAAATTGGACTTATCCCAGGCGTACCACCAACTCGAACTCGATCCGAAAAGCCGACATATCACCACATTTAGTACACACATCGGGCTATATCGCTATAAACGTTTAAATTATGGGACAAACGCTGCCGCCGAGATTTTCCAATACACGCTTCAGACACAATTACAAGGACTCATCGGAGTCAAGAACATAGCCGACGATATTATCGTTTATGGAAGTACTCGCAAGGAACACGATGAAAATCTAGACAAGTGTCTACAACGTCTAACAACCCGAGGATTGACCCTCAACGCCAGTAAATGTAAATTATTGAATCCCA